ATTCGATGTTTAAAATAGTGTCATTAGTAGAAAGAGAATCAATTTACATATTCTTTAGAAATAAAATTGTCCTTGATATAAGAACATGGTGGTAAAATTATCAGGATACCTTCTGATTTAATGGAGTAGCATGTTCATAACAAGAGTAAGTTCAAGTTCTAAGTAGAGACTTAAAATTAACAAAGGAAAAAAGGGGGAAGTTTGAAGGAAAACCTTTAGTTAACAAATACCTTTTCTATAAAAATATCTCTCAGGTCAAAAAGAAAAAAAATGGTCAATTATGTTTCAAGCAATCTTATGGAGATTACAACATATTTAGTTCATAGCAAGTCTCAATTTTGACTATTTTAAGCAACTTAATGGAGTTTACAACATGTTTAGCTCACAGCAAGTTTCAATTTTGACTTGACTAATTTGTAAATATTTGCATAAAATTTAAATATTTATTAAACATATTGTCATACATTGTCACCGACCATCCAAAACTCTTTTCCTCTTCCCCATTGCTTTGAAGTTGCCTTTTTTTAAAATATGGCTCTGCTTCTCATCTGTTTTGCCAAAGAAATTTCAATGTTTGCAGTCAGCACTAACTTCTGAACTTCAAGTGCTCCTATGCCACAGGAGCTTCTTAAGTATCAATCTGGGGCAGGCAGAGGAATGGAAAGGCAGGTGGACAGTCAGGTACCTAAACCTCAGATGTTGATAACCATATCGTGTCTTGTACTGGCCACTGTTCCGTGGATGTGAAGACAGGGACCAAATTTTTAATATGTTATGGCCCTATGTGACATTACAGTCCTAACCACACTCAGAGATATATTATAGATCCAGCCTGGGAAAGCCACTCAAAAAAAAAAAAATCACACATTGCATTCAACAAAGTTCTGATTAGAATCATGCCATCTTGTAGAATCGCCATCTTCACAGGGCTCCTCTAAGTTGGCTATGAGGGTAGTTAGCACTATCTGACACAATGTGAACGCTCAATAATGCGAATATGTTGTTTTTAATGTGTTCTCTAATGTTAAACTCACATGGAAGTCTTCAGACATTAAACATCCATGTTACCCCAACTAGTCAATAACTAAATAGAAGAGGGCGGTTCAAAACTGGACTATTTATCCACAAAGGGTAATCCTGTGTTCATGGTACATAATCTTTAACCTTTCAGGTTGAATTCTCTCTTAAAGAGAAAGATTTCAATCCCTGAGAAGACTCAGTGTTGGTTTAGACTTTTGTTTTACTTAAATCTATTTTCTTAACAGTTGTAACCATCCATTTGGTAGAAACTCACAAATTACTCACCAGGTGCCTAGCTTTTAGAAAATAGCTAAATCTACAAATATTAAACAATAAGATGATCTGGGCTATTCAGTGGTGGGAAATGGGCCATCTACAGGCCAGCTCTAGCTTTTATATGTATCGTCAGCCAACATTTAAGAACAATTTTTGGGCTAATATTTTAAAATAAGGTATTCCACAGGGGAAAATAATCTGAGTATGTAGTTCCTCTTGGGGGAAAAAATCATAAAATACGGTAAAAACAAAGCTAGCATTACCACCAATTCCTGCCTGGCAACAGTTGGTAACAATAAATACTATAGCGTGGTAGTTACCGCATCATCAAGACCAGATACATAATTTGTGGGGTGCAATAAAAATAGAAATGAGAGCTCCCTTGTTCAGGAATTTTAAAAAAGATGTAAAGGTAACAACAATAGAATGTTAAAGGAGGTATGAGCTGAAAGGGGCAAAGTACAATTGTTTAAATCTATGCTTGTGAAACTGGTCCTGCTCCTTACTCCTAGATAAACAGCAAGGTGACTTTAAGTATTTTCTCATTCATTTAACAATCAAGCCAGACATATCCCTAGAGATCTGAGGTTCAAATCCTATAGCAGTGGAGCCAAACAGCAGATCCACTGGGCTCTCTTTCTTCCTTGTTAAAGCGAAATCCACACCAGAGACACTGAGAGTTAATCCAAGTAAAATTAAACTGCTCCCAACAATACAGATTGGTCTGAGCCCTTTTGTTGGCATCACAGAAGCCTCTATTACAAATTCTGAAGAATAGCTCACAGTTGCTAATGAATAACTAAGTCACATTGGCTGTATGGTGGGCCCAGAAGCAAAGGGCTGGCCTAGGAGAGATTTGAACATGAACCTGACCATCTGGCTCACTGAGACTCACTTTGATCACAAAATGAATTGCAACAAATTGGAAGAGCACATGGCTAGAGTTAATTGTCTCATCTGTAATCTGAACCTACTTTTAAGCAGTTATTATTACCTTCTATCAGGTGGAAACGTTTCCTACCATCACGGCAAAGTGCATTTTCCTGATGAACTGTAATGGATCATTAAATTCCATATCTGAATAACAATACTCTGCACTTATTCAGTGCCTTTCATCCTGGGATTTCAAGGCAGTTTGCAAATAATTAAGCCTCTCACACAGCAGCCAGAGGTGAGTGGCTGGAAGGGAATTGCCTGAAGATACTGAGTCAAAGGGCATAATTCAATAGAATGAGAATAAATGGCTTCCCAGGATTGGCACTATTGAAAATGAAAATTTGAAGATCTCCATTCCCTTCATCCTGTCTCATCCTGTCTCTTCTTCTTTTAGGCAGATTCTGAGATGTAATCTACAAAAAACCCACACAAACCTGAGCAATCACTAACAAGGGTGTTTATAATTTAGCTATGAGTTCAGATATTTGTATGCATGAGGAAAATGTATTTTTCCACATAATCCTAGCATATGCATCAGACCGACATTTCAACCCAGCTGCAGATTAGACAGATATTAGAAGAATTCAGCACATTTGTGACTACCAAATGACAAGCCTGAAGCCTTCTAAAATCCAAATGAAAATACTAACCAAAGTATTTTATTCCATGATTGCATGCTCTGGTACCCATCCCCCCGTGTGAATGCAAGTTTCAGGATTAGCAAATAGTATCCAAATGAGCAATTAATGTATTTTAAAGACTAGAATCCTTGAAGGAGAAAACATTGTCACCATTTCAAAGTTTTGTGCTTAAATTATAAACTCCTGAAAAAAAAACTGCATTTATAATGGAAAGGGTGACAGACTTTTCACTGGAGCCGTTTGAATGCAACACTGTAATTTAGCACTCTCTCTTACAAGCTAAAGACTAATTCCACCAAGATGTCATTTTTGACTCACGTTTATTATTACCTGCAATAATGAAAACTGCCGTTTACTCTAGAGCTGCCGGAGAACCAGGGTGGGGCGATCTCACATTTTAAGCAAGAAGCCCGCTGCCTTACGGAAATAGCCCGCTTAACCAAAGCGGCAGCCTTGCAAGCTCAGCTCCTGTCAGGCCAGCCAGAGCCTTCGCAGCTTCCACGAGCCTTTCCTCCACGTTACATTGTAATGATCTGAGGAAACTGTTATCAGAGTTAACATCTCTAATTTTACTCTAAACAGACAAAGACCAAAAAAAAAAAAATCTCATTAGGCATCATCTCCGCCAAGGTTCCCACTAGGCAGGAAAGGATTTTTTTTTTAATCTAAAGTAATTATCCTTTTTAGTTAAATACACTCAACAGATGAAATTCACTCCGCGTGTGAGACTGCAGCACTGCACGGCGAAGGTGAAAGCCCCGGAGGACCGCCGAGGCTGGCCACCTGCGGGCCCCGCGGACAGTCTGCAGCCTCGGTCTGGGGGGAGGGGGGGCCGCCCTGGTGCCTCTCGTTTCTCGGTGGCCACGGGTGGCGGCGACAGTGACTGAGGGAACAGGCAGCCAGGTGCCCCTTCTCCAGTCACCAGCCCAAACCACCTGGACTGCGGCCTGGCGGGAACTTCCTCCAAGTTGTCAAACTCTCATACTTACATGCCAGAGCTTGCTGGGGATCCCCTGTGCGCCCACGACCCCCCAAAGCCGGGAGTTCAAACGCACCTTCAAACAGACGCACCCTGCCCTGCGCGCTTCCTCCAGGCTCCAGACCGAGGTCGCAGGGATGCTCGCGCGAGTACGCTCGTGGGCATCGCACCTGGGACAAGCCCTTCGCGGCCCTCGGCTTCGGAACACCCACCAGTGAAGACCCACCGTGGTGGTGTGTGTGTGTATGTGTGTGTGAGGTGGGGGGGGGGGAGATCGAAGGGGCGCGTGAAGCTACGGGCTCGGAGACCGCAGTGAAGGTTGTGGGTGGGTACCGCGGGACGCTGGAGCGAGCTGTCACTCAGAAACCGGGAGCTCTCGGCGCCGAGCTCGGTGCACCGCGGCTACCCCACGCTCCGGCCGGCCCTGGGCTAGAAGGAAATTCCACCTGGGTCTGCAACCCGCGCGTACCCGGGCTGCTTCCTGAGACCCGAAACTTGAGCTTTGATCCCTCTCCGGGCGCGGTGGTCTGGGCCACCCGGCGGCGGCTTGACAGTCGAGCGCTAAGGCGCGGCGCCCGCGCGGTCGGCGCAGCAGCGCCGGTTGCGGATGCGGTGCACCGGGAGGAGGCCGTCCGGCCGGCCGGCCCGGAGCGGCGCGGGTTTCGCGGGCTAAGGGACCGGGACGCCCCGGCTTCTTTCGGTCCGGGGAATGTGGGGGTAGGGGAGGCGGGGGCAGGGCCGTCGGTCTGACAGCTGCTCGGGCTCCCGCGGACGCGCGCCTCCCTCCAGCCCGCCCTCCCCACGCCTGACTTATTACCCTCCGCTCCTCCTCCTCCCGCCGCTGTTCCAAAACACCCGTCGACCCGAGCAAAATACAATGCCGCCTCGCCCGCCCGCCGTAAACAGCCGGGCGGGTGAGCGCGCCGGGGCCGCCGCCGCCGCCGCGCGTCCTCCGGCCCCGCCGTTCCCACCCCTTCCCGTTCCTAGAAAAAGCCATCAAAGCGGGCCCGGCGCTGGGAGGGCGGCCGCGCGTCCCTTCCCGCGCCACTTCGTCCCACGCCTCCCCGCCTGCCCCGCGCACCCGCTCCCCACGCAAACTTGGCCCGCCGCCCCGCCTGGGCGCTGGGGCCCGCGGCCCGGGGACTCACCTCGCGGGAGAACTTTGCGTCCTTTTCCGCCTTCTCTTCCCCGCGTCTTCGCAGCCTGCAGCCGCCTCCCGGCAGCTGGCGCGGGTGGGCGATTCAGGGGGTCACCGAAAGCTCTCGGGGGGGACGCGCATCACATGGCAGCTCGTTCACAGCCCCCCGAGTGTGACGGGAAGGGGGAAGGGAAGGGGTGAGGAGAGGCCGGGGGCGAAAGCGAGCGAGGCGGGCGGCGGCGGTGGTGGGCGCTCCCGTTAGCGCTGCTGCGACCGTGGCTCGGGCGTGCACGGCCGCGGCGGCGGCTCCTGCTGCTGCTGCGGCTGCGGCTGCTGGGGCGGCTGAGGCGGCGGCGGCGGCGGCGGCTCGGCGCTGTTTGCTCCGCGCCGCGCGGCTCGAGCTCTCCCCGGAACGCCCACACTCTCAATCGCTACATTGTTGACATTCGGCGCTGACGTCACCCGCTCCCCATTCACAATAACTTTACGGGAGCCGGGCAGCGCACCTCCCCGGCCGCTGGGGCGCCGTACGCCCGGCGACTAGCGTAAGCCGCTCCGCGAATGGCGCTCCTCCGGGGGGCTGGGGCTGGGGCTGGGGCTTGGGGCGGGCGCGCGCGCTTCTCCGGCTCGCGGGAAGGGGCGCGCCTCACGCCGCTGCGGCCACCGATCTCCCGGCTTTGTGCGGCCGCGCGGCTGCCAGAGCCCGCTCCTCCCTGCCCAGCTGACCACTTGGCTCGGCCAGGCCCGGCCCTGCCTACAAAGAGAAGGAAGGGTGTGTGTGTGTGTGTGTGTGTGTGTGTGTGTGTGTGTGTGTGTGTGTGTGTGTGTGTGTGTGTGTGTGTGTTGGGGGTAGTGCGGCTAGGCTAGGATAGTAGTGATGGTTAGGGTGGCACGTGGAGAATGAGCCAAGAGCCCTAAGCACTAGCGCTGTATCCGGGGAAGGGAGCCAGACCTCACAACCTAGGATTCCAGGATTGCCTATCCTTTCTCCCTGGGGAGGGGCTGGAAAAGATGCTTGGAGGCCGCGCGGTGGAAGGAGAGTCTCCCAACGACTGGTGATGGGATGTTTGGATCCCTTTCAGGTGGGCCTGGGCCTGCCCCACCGAACGAACCTCTAAGACCTCGCGGCCGGATTGTAGAAAGAGTGTCATCTATTGCTAATTAAAAGCCAGCCTTCCCGGTTTCTATAACGTCTGCAGATACTTTGCTTCCTTTCGCTGGGGACGCTGCTTTGTCAGAAGAAAGCTTGATGATAGTTACAGTTATAAGAGTTAAATTAGGACTTAGGCTGGACATAACATTTGCAATAAAATAAGGTTGTGTTAGTGTTGTGCTGGTGCCTGCAACTCAACCTCTTGCCAAGGCCAAGAAATTCTGCCCTGTTTCCCTGAACACCTATAACTGCAAGGCAGTATTCCATATTATTACACGTGGTGCTGATTTTTAATGAATATTATAAAACTTTGGCTCGCTCTACTGAGAGAAGGCTCATAAATCCCCTCTATAAAATGGGCCCTGGCATATGCTGAGGAAGCAGTGAAGCGTCGCCCTGGGAGTCTTGTGATATCATCCAAAGTGTTGCTCCAACCACTGACCTTTTTGAGGGCCCAATTTTCAAAGACAGGTTTGGAATGTCTATGTGGAAAGCACGTTTGTGAGGGACCATGACAAGTGCAAGACTGAATTAATTTTTCTATCAGCATAGGAGAACTTCCATTGGTAAGTTTGGCACTGGGAGATCTTTCTCTGCTAAGCTTTCCAGTTTTCAAATGAGGGATGGTCTGTCAGCTAGAAGACCTGTGTCTCTTTATTTCTGATCTAGCACCCCTTGGGATGGACCCCTTCCCTAGAAAGGACAGAATACTGATGTTAACCTAACCAAGCTGTTCTTTGACAGTCCTGGAAGTGACTGGTACTAAGGCTTGCACTCAGAACTTCTTGTTCAGCTAGTGCTATACCACTTGAGCCATATCTCCACTTTTTTTTTTGCTGTTTAATTAGCAGTAGAGTCTTGTGGGCTTTTCTGCTTGGCTGGCTTCAAACCATGGTTCCTCCAGGAATCAGCTTCCTGAGTATGTGGGATTACAGGCATGAGCCACCAGTGCCTGACTTGCATTCTCATTCTTGTAAATGTATGATGGGAAAGAAACTTTATACATTTTAATAAAGGCAGGCCTGAAAATATCCATATGAGGATCATAGATTCATTTCTCTTTAGACAGGCTAAGACTGCCCAGCTATGTGAGGAGACATGCCAATGGGTGAGAAGCCAAATTTGCCCCTTACTTCTGGTCCCAGGTAGATACAGCAAAGGCTAGAAGATGCTGTAAATTAGTTTATTTGCCTGTAGACTTGGATTCAGCGTTTGTGAATTAAAACTCTCAAGTATGAGATAGGACAGTCAAGATGACAAAGCCTAATGCACCTGAAGAGATTGTGTTACTGAGTCATTCAGAGAGGCTGAATTAAAACTAGTTAACCTGCAGGTTATTCCCACTTCAGTGATCATATATATTCTCTCCATGATGTCAAAGAAGATAAAAAATCATTGCCTTTCAGGAGCATGAAGAAGTCTAGTAGAAAGTTTCATTTTATTTTAGGAGTTGGAAGCAGGTTATTTGAATTGAAACCTGAAAAGAATATTTGGCACTGTATGAATTAGCATGGTAAGTCAAGTGTTAAGGGCTCCTTTCCCACCATGCTACAGAGGTTAGCCAGTGGACATCTTAGCACCTTTATCCTGTTTGCTAGGCTGCCCCTGGCTGATGCTGCTACTCTAACACTTCAGTCATTTGCAATGGGAAACAGATGCAGATCTTTCACTCAGCAACCTGAGTAGAGGTCAATTTATTTCCCATGCCTGAAACATTCAACCTGTCCTGATGCACCTTTTTCCTACATAGTTACCTGTGTCTTTTGATCTAGAATATGAGCTTCATCTGTCATCATGATATGGTTTCCTAGGTTAATGGCTTTGTATCATGCTATTGAAGCCAATTAACTTTATTTCTAGAATTTATTTAAAAAATAAAGCAGGGGGCTGGGAAGGTGGCTCAGTGGTAGAGCGCTTGCCTTGCATGCTTGAGGCCCTGGGTTCGATCCTCAGCACCACATAAGCAAAAAGAAAAAAAAGCCGGAAGTGGTGCTGTGGCTCAAGTGGTAGAGCGCTAGCCTTGAGCTGAAGAGCTGAGGGACAGTGTCCAGGCCCAGAGTTCAGGCCCCACGACTGGGCACAAAAAACAAAAACAAAACAAAAATAAAGCAGGAAGCTGGCTGCTGGTGGCTCATGTCTGTAATCGTAGCTACTCAGAAGTCTGAGATTCCTGAGAATTGCAGTTCAAAGCCAGCCCAGGCAGACTCTTATCTCCAATTAACCACCAGAAAACCAGAAGTGGCAGAGGCTTGCCTTGTGCTCAAGAGCTCAGGGATAGTGCTCAGGCCCAGAGTTCAAGCCCCCCCCCCAAAAAAAAAATAAAAAATGAAAACAGGAAAAAGAAAATAATCAGGTGTGTGTGGGGAAGTGGGAGAGTTGGGGAAGGGAAAGGATAGTAGGAAAAAAAGGATGGTGTAACAGTATTTAACAAGAAATGTACTTATTACTCATGTAATTGTAACCCCTCTGTACAGCATCTTTACAATAAAATAAAATTTAAAAAAAAGAAAAAGAAGATATGCAAGAAGAAAAGGACCGGGAAAGGAAGACAGAAGAAAGACAAGACAGTTTTGAACTCTTGGATTCCATGCACCCCAGCACCCTAGACAGAATTTGATAATGTTGAGAAGATTGTAATAGTTCTTCCTAAGGCAAAACAGTAGGCAGAATTTCCAGTGTAGCACCTTGAATCATCTCAGCAAAGCAAACTTAGTACCCAATGAAATCTTGACAAAAGGGTTTAGAGTAGGATGCTGGGAGGAAGAATGCCCAAGACAGGAAGAGCCTAGTAATGGAAGGAAGTTCTGTTGATGAGGAAAATTCTCACTGGGACAAGTACCTTGGAATTATGACTAATGTTTACTATGTCAAAACTAGATGTTAATGTACATCTATCTAAACTGTAAAGCCCTAGCTTAGCAATGCCCAGGTGACACTTTGAAGAACTGATGGAATTGGAAAAGCTTTGATGATTGGCTCAGTAATTGTTGACTTGCCTGTTACATGGTTAAGGTATTTCTTCCAGCTATTCTATTTTGCTGGGATGGAACAGTAAACAGAACAAAGCCTCTGATCTCGTGGAATTTTTATTCTAGTGGTGAGCTTGGAAAAAAGACAATGAGCCAAACATATGTCTAAGCTATAGATATAAATGGGGTCAGCTGATGTGTTGGGATGGCTTGGAGTGAAGCATGTAAAGGTAAGTAGCAAGGCTTTGGAGTGATAGGGGTTGAGGTTCTTAAGTTGGGTCAAAGAAGTGTTTCTTGATAAGAGAATATATATTTAAGAAGAAATATAAATGAAGCAAGAGGATAATTGCTGCACTTATCTTGGGGGGGGGAGGGAAGCTTTTCAAATATCAAGAAGAGCAAGTGCAAAGACCTGAAGGCAGGGTAGATTTGGCATGTTTCAGGAACAAAACCAGCAGAGGCCATTGTGATTGATGTACAAGAGTAGGGCGAAGTGTAGCTGAGCCACAATTCTAGAGGTATAGCCAGCAGATTTGGGGTGGGGGGAATGGGAGGTTATTTATAAGGATTTCTGTAGATAATGAAAACCAGTTAGCCTGGATTCCTAAAGGATCACTGTTTACTAGATAGAAGGGAGAGTAAAAGAGGAAGTGGACAGACCAGGCAAGAGGCTTTTGAGGTCAGCTAGCAGGACTAGAACATCAGCCATAAATGAGATCTAGACACATTTTCAAAGATTAAGTTGGACAGGATTTATTGATGATTCATCTGTGGAATGTGAGAGAAGGGGAGCCAAAGGCAGCTCTGGATTTTGGAGTGGAGATACAACTTAGTGAGACATGGGAGAAAGCACAAACATTTGGTTTTGGATAGCTGATTTTAGATGCCTACCAAATATGTAAATGGAAAATTGAGCAAATAATTAGATATGGGAACCTAGAAGTCAGAAAAGACATCCAGACTTGAGGTAGAAACATGAGTGGCATCAACATAATACATTTGAGAACATAGAGAGGGAAAAGAATGGGGAGTAGGGAAGGGGAGAGGGAAGTGGAGAGAGGGGTGTGGGAGGGGAGAAGAAAGAGAAGAGGAAGGAAGGGGAATGGGAGGGAGAGGGGGAATGCAAATCTAGAAGGAGGAAAGGGGGGGAAGAGGAGAAAAGAGGG